GTACCTGGAATTGAACTCAGGAGCTTGTGCTTGCCAGGCAGGCACTTGTGCCGCTGAGCTATATCCCTGGCCCTAAACAAAATTAAAAGATGACTAGCTAGGAACAGATATTTGCAACCCATATCTCACGAAGAGGTAATATTTAATATTCAAATATTAAATCTAATAATCTAATAATCAAAAAGGAAAATCTCGGTATGGTTTTTTCGTTTGTTTGTTTGTTTTTGTCTTTTTGAGGCAGGGTCTCACTATGCAGTTTAGTTTGGTCTTGAACTCATTTTGTAACCCAGGCTGGCCTGGAACTCACAGCAATCCTCCTGCCTCAGCCTCCTGAGTGCTGGGATTACAAGGTTGCACCACCACACCCGGAACCCAATATGGTTTTTTGTTTGTTTTTTTTTTAATTACAAGACGTAGTATGAAAATGATCTTTGAGCTTTGGAAAACATATAGAAACTCAAGAACACCAATAAAACTAAGCTGAAGTTAGGTGTGGTGGTGCATGCTGTAATCCCTGCTATTTAGGAGGCTGAGATAGAAGGATCTAAATTCAAGTACTGCCTGGGAGCCTTAGTGAGGCCTTGTGTCAAAAAGGCTTTTCTTGTTTGCAGAATAAAGCAGCATATATGCATCCTGCTTTCTCATTTTATACATATTTTTAATATTACATATATACTTTTTGGTGGTGCTAGAGATGCCACCCACGTCATCCTGCATGCTAAGCAAGCACTAACCACTTGAATACACCCGCAACCCATTTTATTTTATTTTATTTTTTATTTTGCCCAGACTAGCCTCAAACTTGAGACTCTTCCGGAATTACCGTTGTGTAAAATCACACCCAGTTCAGATGCATTCCTTTTGGTGTTTTTGTTTTCTGTGGGGTTTTTTGGGGGTTTTTTTGTTTTTTGTTTTTCCTATCTTTTTGAGACAGGGTCTCGCTATGCAGTTCAGGCTGGCCTTGAGCTCACTTTGTAGCCCAGGCTGGCCTCGAACTCGCAGCAATCCTCCTGCCTCAGCCTCCTGTGGGCTGGGATTACAAGCGTGTGCCACCACGCCCGGCTGTTTTTGTTTTCTGTGTTTTGAGACAAGATCTTGCTATATAGTCGAGGCTGGGCTTTAACTCACTATGTAGCCCAGACTGTTTTGAACTCATAGTGATCCTCTTGCCTCAGCCTCCTGAGAGCTAGGATTGCAGGTGTGTGCCCCCATATCCAGCTCTCAAATGCAGTTTTTAATGGATATTTTAATCTATGATTGCTATAATCTATGCACAAGGGACCCACAGGTCCAGAGGACCAGAAGTATAGGAAAGACCAGAAGTTTACAGTGATGACAGAGAGAATGAAATGTCACTGTCACCACTGGGGGTAACTAGGACACCAACTGCTTAGTCTGAAAATTGGCCATTGTGGGGAAAGCCTTCGGCATTCATCCCAGCTCTCAGAGGTGCTGTACTGTAGTATAACCAGATAGCTTTGGTTGGTGAAGGAAAACTTCATTAGGGAAGAATTCCACAGATGTGGACAAACTGACCCAAACAGAAAACTTACAATTCTGTAATATTTAATAACAAAAGGCAAGTGCAGTGGCACCATGCCTGTAACCCCAGCACTTGGGAGGCCGAGGCAGGAGAATCACTGAGAGTTTGAGGCCAGCCTGGGCTACCCAGCAAAATCTGTCTTAAAAAAAAAAAAAAAAGAAGTGAGGTGGGGGTGCTGGGGGTGGAGCTCAGTGCAAAGGCCCTGGGTTCTATCCTCTGTACTGCAAAACATGACAATTAAATTTAAAAAGTAAAATAGAATAATAAAATAATTCAGGCCAGTAATGGATGCCGCCATTAGAACGGAGGTACCCGGGGCCTCTTGTAGCAGCAGCGTCTGACCTGCCGGGCTTTGCAGGGGCCGAGGTGTCAGAAGGCAGAGCAGGGCTGGTGACTTAAAGTACAGAAAACCTGTTCTCCAACTCCGGGGGGCTGAGGTCTCTGGCCCAGAGCGGATCCCTCCCCGCCCCTGTCAGCTTGCTCGTTCCTCTGTGTGTTTCTGTCCTAATCTTCTTACTTTTATTTTTTTATTTTTTTCTTTCAGTGCTGGGCCAGAACCCAGGGCCGTGCCAAGGCTAGGCAAGTGCGCACTGCTGAGCCGCATCCTGTCTTTTCTTTCCTTCTTCTCTTTCCTTCTTTCTTTCTTTCTCTTTTTTCTTTCTTTTTTTCCTCTCTGAGATAAGATCTTGCTAGGTACCCCAGACTGGCTTCATACTTGGGGTGATCCTCCCGCCTCAGCCTCCTCTGAATCCTGGCATTACAAACTTCTGCCATCAGGGTCAGGTCCCATGTCTTTTTCATTTTTTGTTTTTGAGACAGGGTCTCACTGTGTAGCCCAGACTGGCCTCAAATTTACAGCAATCCTCCTGCCTCAGCCTCCCAAGCAGCTGGGGCTGCAGGTGCTTATCCTGCCTAATCTCTTCTTATCGGACCCCACTCAGAGTGGATTAGGCACCGTCCTAATGACTGCAACTTACTTTAATCCTCTGTCTCTCTTTTTCCTCTCTATTTCTTTGAGACAGGGTCTCACTATGTAGTTCAGGTTGGCCTTGAACTCACTATATAGCCCACCAGGCTGCCTTTGAGGTCATGACAATTCTGCCTCAGCCTCCCTAGTGCTGGGATTACAGGCATGTGGCATCATACCCGGTTAATCCTCCCTTTAAAGGCCCTGTCTCCAAATAGCAAATAGCCCTTCCCCACCCCCAGTACTGGGGATTGAAGCAGCACTTCCACATTAAGCTACATCCCTAGCCCTTTTGGGGGCTTTTACAGGGGGTACTTTTTTTTGGTGATCCTCCTGCCTCAGCCTCCCGAGAAAGTGAAAAGTAGTATACGAGAATGTGCACAAGTTTTACACCAATGCTGTGGGTTTCCATACAAAGGATTGGAGGAGCTCTGACTTTGTTTTGGGTTGGGGGCGCCTTGTGCCAGTCCTCAGTCATCTGCTTATTCACTCTTCTGTCCGGAAACGGTTCTTGAGGATAGGCGCTGCCCTTGGCACTGACACAGCACAGGTCTTGCTCTTCAGATGCGTGCGTCCCCAAGCACAGAGGAGCAGGCCTGTGACCCCAGACCCTCAGGAGGCTGATGCAGGAGGATCGCAAGCTCCAGGTCAGCCCTGGCCATGGGCAGCATGGCAATTTAATGAGACCCTGTCTCAAAACAAAGCACAGCAAACAGCACGGGCCTGCGGGAGATGCGCAGCAGGCGTTTCAGTTCTGGTAGGGGGTGGCGCCCCCCCGCCCCACCCCGTCCCCGGAATCAGGGCCGGGGGAGCCGAGCTATCTTTGAAAGAGGAGCCAGTGCTGGGCACGAGAGAGAGGCAGTCTCCTGGGCCCTCTTCACCTGCCAGCTCGGATTCTGTACAAAGTCCGGTGCGGACTGAGGACAGGGAGCCCGCTGCACTGGGCATCCTTCGGGTTCTGTGTGGAAACCCGAAACCAGGAACAGAGAGACACCCCCCCCTCCCGCCCCGCCCCGGGCTGGAGGTCCCTAGGCTCTGCTGGGATTCGTTGGATTCTGATTAAAATCCCTTCAAAGGCCCATAGTCTCAGCACTCAGGAGGCTGAGGCAGGAGGATCACCAAGAGTTCCAGGCCAGCCTGGGCTGCGTAGTGAGACTCTGTCTCCAAAACCCCAAACAAAGCAAAAGCAAAACAACAACAACAACAACAACAAAAAAAAACCCTTCAAAGAAGTCTGGGTGCTTTGATGGAATCAAAGGTCACCCCGGGGGGCTCAGACGGCTGTCCACATGGGCGGGTGGGGGTGGGGCTGCCCTTTGCGCACACCTCTGAGGAGCTCACCTCAGGCTCCTCACCACAGACTTAAAGGGCTGTAACGGACCTTCCTGGCCCCTGAGTCCCGTGAGGGCAAAGGCCTGGCGGGCTGAAGCAGGTGGCTGTGACGGTGCCAGCTGAGTGGACTCCTCAGGTGGCTGCAGTCACAGGACAGTGGCCACAAACCCGGGCCGGGCCCGCAGGACCCACCATTCTCCTTTCGGACAACCCAACGTTTCACCTTTCTTTTCAGTACTGGATTGCATCCCGCAGCCCTTGTTGATTTTCTGAGACAGGGTATCACCCAACTTCACATTTTCTTTTAAGAATCCGTGGCCAACACTGAGCCTGAGGGCGCACGCCTATTATCTCAGCCCTCTGGGAGGCTGAGGCAGGAGGATCACAAGTTCCAGCCCACCCAGGCAATGTAACCAGTTGGTTAGACCCTGTCTCAAAAAAAAAAAAAAAAAAATACTGGAGATGCAGCCAGTGTGAAAGCCCTGGGTTCCATCCTCAGTGCTCAGGAAAAAGGAAAAAAACGAGGGAGCTGCCACCTCCCAACTCCCAGCTTCTCTGGAGAAGCAGGAACTAGGCAACACAGGGCACGTCCCCATGGCAACAGCAGTGTGAGGCTTGCAGGGCTTCCGGGAGCCAGGCCCGGGCCTCCTGCCGCACAGATGGATTCGTCCTCCCGAGTGATCCTCGCCCCCCACCACGGGCATCCCGAGGTTTTGCAGGGGGACGCAGGGGCTCACCCAGCATCCCACGGTTTAGGGTGGTGGCAGCACTGAAGCCCAGGCAGTTAACTGTTTTATTTTTTATTTTTTTCCACTACTGGGAGTTGAACCCACAGCCTTTGCAATGAGCTACATCCCCAACCATTAAAAAAAAATTTTTTTTTTTAGACAGAGACTCCACTAAGAGGCTAAGTTGCCCAGGCTGGGCTGGAAGCTGTGTGATCCTCCTGCCTCAGCCTCTTGAGTAGCTGGGATTCCACATGGGCTTGGGCTACAGAGCCTGTCTGTACCTGCTGTTCTAGGTACAGCAAACTCTGTGTCCCTGCTGTCATTTCTTCTCCCTTGAGCGTCAGCCGCCAGTGTGGGCTCAGGGGAGGGGTGGGCGTGAGCACGCACCCGCTCGCACGCATGCGCACACGCACTCGCCTTGGGTCACTCACTACGCGCTCGAACTCCTTGGCCTGCGTCAGCTCCCGCGGGAAGCCGTCGATGAGGAAGCCGCGGCTGCTTGCGTGGGACAGCATCTTTTGGCTGACCATGTCCAGGACAAGGCCCTGGGGGTGAAGGGGTGGGGTCAGTGCCTGGGAGGGCCTTTTGCCCCCTCAGCCTGCCAGGCCGATTTCTACAGCCTGGACCTCGGGTAGGGACAGGGCACACGCTGCCCTGCCCCGTCCGTGCCCTGCGTTGCTTTTTCTTCCTTTTCTTCGCAGTGCTGGGGATTGAGCTTTAGCGCCTGGCACATGCTAGGCAGGTCCTCTGCTATGGAGCTACACCTCGGCCCTAAATTGCTCTTTTGTTTTTGAAACAAGATCTCACTATGACTGCGCATGACGTCGCACACCTGTAATCCCAGTACTCTGAGAAGGCTGAGGCAGGAGGATCACGAGTTTGAACCCAGCCTAGATAACTTACTTGGCAAGATTCTGGGCTGTAGCACTAGAAAGGCCCCTAGTACCACAACAGAAAAGGCCCATCCCATCCCCCAGGCTTGCCTTGAATTCCTGGGCTCAGGCAACCCTTCTGCCTCAGCCCCGAGTCCACCCTGAATTCTGTGTCTGCCCTGGGGTGCGAGGGAACCAGCTCTGAGAACTGGACCGTGTGCTGGGTGGGTGTCATTTAACCCGCCAGGGGCATGACATTAGGAATGGTACGGGGGCGGTGTTGCTTCTGCAGGTGGCAGAACAGCTTCCGGAGGGATGGTGAGGCTCTCTGAACCTCTCAGGAAAATCCTGTTATTCTTGGTATCCAGAGCAGTACAATTCCAGGACGCCCACAGATACCAACACATAAACATGCTCAAGTCCCTCAGATAACATGGGGGAGCCAGCAGTGGTGGCACATACCAGTAACCTCAGCACTCTGGAAGGCTGAGGCAGGAAGATTCCAAGTCCCAGCCCAGCCTGGACAATTTAACAACTTACCGAGGCCCTATTTCAAAATTTATTTATTTATTTGGTACCGGGAATCGAACTCATGACCTTGTGTTTACCAGGCAGGTACTTGTGCCACTGAGCTATATCCCCAGCCAAAAATAGAAATTTTTAGTGCCAGACATGATGGCACATGCTTGTAATCCCAGCATTTAGGAGGCTGAGGCAGGAGGACGGCTGTGATCACTTCTCGGCCTTTTGGCTAATATCATGTGTAGGAGGACTGCTGTGAGTTTGAGGCCAGCATGGACTACACTGTGAGACCCTGTCTCAACTAGAAAGAAAAAGAAAGAAAGAAAGAAAGAAAGAAAGAAAGAAAGAAAGAAAGAAAGAAAGAAAGAAAAGAGAATTTACATACATTCTCTTGTAGAGTTCAGATAACTCCAGATGACTTCATATTATTGTTGTTGTTATTTTGGGTTTTTGAGACAGGGTCTTGCTATGTAGTTCTGGCTGGCTTTGAGCTCTCAGTGATGCTCCTGCCTCAGCCTCCCAAGTGCCGGAATTACAGGCATGCGCCACCACACCTGGCTTGATGTGGTGTTTTGCAGTTAAGGGCAGGAGGGCTTCGTGCAGTAGCCAAGCAGGGAAGTTTGTCCCCAAATCCACCCCTTCCCCGACCTCTCCCCCTGACTGGGGGGTCTCACCGTGGGCACCAGGAGCCCCTGCAGCATAATGTCTCGGATCTGCCGGCCCTGCCGGGTGCTCCTTTGGGCCTCTTGCCGCAGCAGCTGGCCCAGGTCCACATAGCAGAAGCCGTACTTGGTAGCCATGTTCCTGCACTGAGTCCCTTTGCCGCAGCCCGGGCCGCCCAGCACGAAGATGATGAGGGAGGCCTTGAGCGCATCTGTGGAGGAAGAGCCGGGCCATGGGTGAGCACTGTGGGGGATGGGCTGGCATGGGCCGGATTGTGTGCACGGGCCAGTGTGTGTCCCTGGCTCATGCTAGGCACAGATCTCTGGCATACAGAGCCGCTTTGTTTGTTTTGAGACAGGCTCTCACGCCGGGCACGGTGGCACATGCCTGTGATCCCAGCACTTGGGAGGCTGAGGCAGGGGGATCGTTGCGAGTTCGAGGCCAGCCGGGGATACAAAGTGAGCTCAAGGCCAGCCTGAACTGCATAGCGAGACCCTGTCCCCAAAAGACAAAAGTTAAAAAAAAAAAAAAAAGAGAGAGAGAGAGATAGGCTCTCGATATGTAGCCCAAGCTGGCTTCAGGCTTGCAGGGATCCTCCTGCCTCAGCCTCTGGAGTTCTGGGATTATACATGTGAGCCACCATAACTGGATCTTAGCACTTCTGGCACTATGGCAGCCTCTAGGGGTACATGTTGTGCCCAGGGGTAGGGCCAGGGACATTGTGGCATGATGCTGCTGTGAGGTGCTGTGTTGAGACTCGAGCATCTCTTTGAAGAACCTAATGACTCCATCATCCCATTTTAAAGCTGAGGAAACTGAGGCTCAGAGAGGGGCAGAGAATCAGACCACCCTCCCCTACTCTATAACTTTGGTTCTGTTCCTTGCACTTCTGGTTTCATCCTTCCCTTGCTGTTCTCTCCACCAGAAAAACTCTGGGCTGCCTCAGTTTCTCCTGGCCACAGCTCACCCATCTGAGTTCTCCATCTCTGTCCGAGGAGCCTCCCACGCCTCAGAGCCCCTTTTCCCACCCGGCAATGGCCACCACCAGCATCCCTGTTTGTTCTTCTGTCCCCAGGGAGGTTCTGCTCTGCACAACAGCAGGAACTATTCCTCCACACTCGTCCCTGTGTTCCCACCGGCAGTCACAGTCCCTGACAGCTAGCAATGGATACGGAATACATGAATGTCCAAGGCCACCAGTTGTGTCTTTTTTTTTTTTTGTCTTTTTGAGACAGGGTCTCACTATGCAGTTCAGGCTGGCCTTGAGCTCACTTTATAGCCAGGCTGGTCTCGAACTCACAACGATCTTCCTTTCCTGCCTCAGCCTCCCGAGTGCTGGGATTAGTTTTCGTGCCTTGCTTTTCTCGACCTTTGTTTAGCCAACTCCTATTCATCTGTCAGGGCCCAGTGGAAACCTCTCCTTTTCTCTGAGCCCTGGGGGTGGTAGATTCCATTTTCTTAGTCTTTTCCCTCTGTCACACTGTAATCACCAAGAGCACCTGGAGCTGGTTTAACATTGAGAGCTCAGAATCCAGAAGTCATTCAGCTATATCTGGAAAAGATGAGCGAACGGCCAGGCGTGATGGCGCACACCTGTAATCTCAGCGCTCTGGAGGTTGAGCAGAAGGATCGGTATGAATTCCAGGACAGTGAGGGCTGATCACAGTGTAGGCTACATAGTGAGTTCAAGGCCAGCCCAGATTACAGAGCGAGACCTTGTTTCAGAAAAATAATCAGAAATAGAGCTGGAGGAGGTGGCACATGCCTATAATCCCAGCACTGGGGAGGCTGAGGCAGGAGGATCGTTGAGAGTTCGAGACCAGCCTGGGCTACAAAGTGAGCTCAAGGCCAGCCTGAGCTGCACATAGAGACCCTGTCTCAAAAAGATTAAAAAAAAAAAAAAATCAGAAAAAGATAAATAGCTGAGCCAGAAGCACGCACAGTTGTTACTGTCAGGATGGGAGTGGCACGTCGGATAGAGGGTACACCTGCATCTCCCCAATGCCATCTACTGTCCCCTCCACTCTCCCCTCGGTAAGGCAGCCATCCCTGCTATATTACCCTTCTCCTGGGGTCTCAATGGTCTGCCCATCTGGGGCAGCTTGGATTTGCACAACCCCATCTGACCAGCAGCCCTCGGGGCAGTCGTGCCACATCCCCATCCTGGCCCTGACCCCTCCGATCTCAGCTCAACGTCACAAAGGCCCCTGCTCCGATCATTTTTGCGGGATGATAGGGCTCTGCTACCACATACAGTGGCAGGGGGCTGGACATGAACGTTCACCAGGCCCCAGCCGAGCCTGTGGAAAAAGCGATCCCGCCAAGTAGGCCTTGGTTGCTATGGCGACGACGACTCCTCGCACCACTTCCGGAGCAGGGTAGCGCATGCGCACAACGTACTGCAGGTTTTGAGGCTCCTTTCTTCTCCCTCACCTGGGTGCCCGACGGTCCCTGCGTGTGACGTCCTGGAGGAAGGCGTTCCCACGCGTCGTGATTGGTTCTAAAAGCGCGCCAACCACAGGCCGGGCACGCACTAAACTACACCTACTACACCTCCGGGCCTTCTTAAAATCCGGAGATGGGGTCTCGCTAAATTTCTTAGGCTGGCCTGGAACCTGCGAATTTCCTGCTTTCCTTCTTTCCACTTTTTTTTTTTTTTTTTTTGAGACAGGGTCTTACCATGTAGTTCAGGCTGGTTTTAAACTCACTATGTGGCCCAGTCTGGCCTTGAACTCTCAGTGATCTCCTGCCTCAGCCTCCCTATTGCTGGAGTTACGGGTGTGGGTCACGACCCACGGCTGCTTTCGCTTTTCAGGTAGCTGAGATTAAAGTCCTGTGAGTTATTTATCTCAGATTGGCTTGGGTTTGAAAAAAGATGGGTGCCCTGGGATGTGACAGTTTTTTGTGTGTGGGGGGGGTACTGTAGCTCAAGCCGAGGCGTGCTTTTCTACTGAGCTACATCCTCAGCTTCATTTACTTATTTATTTATTTTTGAGACAGGGGCCCACTATGTGGGCCAGGCTGGCCTTGCACTCATTATGTAGCCCAGGTTGGCCTTGAGCTCCTAGTTATCCTCCTGCCTCAGCTCCCAGTCCCAGTGCTGGGATTACAGGCGTGCACCACCACGCCCAGCTCCCTTTTATTTTTTGAGATAGTCTCGCTAAAGTGCCCAGGCGGGATTTGAATTTGCGATTCTCCTGCCTCAGCCTCCCTCAGTGCTGGGATTACAGATGTAAGCCACCAAACCCGACTCCTAAATGACAGCGGCGAGTGAAACACAACCGCAAAGGAGGTTGCCACGGTGACGCGACCCGCGAAGTTTAACTTCCGGGTTAGGAGGCGGCACAGGCGCGGAAGGGAGCAGCGAAGTCCCACTTCCGTGTAGTTTTTCCCAGGGCCCGGAGCGGGAGGTGTGCGGGGTCCTAGGTTAGGACCTGAGACCCAGCGCCCCGAGAGCGGCTCCCCCGGACTGTGGGCGCGGATCCCGGAGCAAACGGAAAGAATCAGGATCGCCGCGGACGCGAGCGACTGAGTGTTGTCAATGGCGACCCTAGTGAGTATGAATGAGGCAGGGCTCGCGATCCCCGCCGCTGCCCGGCGGCCCCTCCTCACGCGACCTTCCGCCTCGCCTCTCCGCAGGGCCCCGGCAGCCAGAACGTCACCGAGTATGTCGTGCGAGTTCCCAAGTAAGTCCCCGGCCCCAGCTCCCACGCCCAGCCCAATTACAGCGTGCCGGAGCTGGGGACGAGGGGGTCCCAGCTCCGCGGTGCTTCCCCGGGCAGGGCTGGAGCTCAGGCGTCACCGCCGAGTCACGCAGCGGCTCAGCGCCCTGGATCCCTTGTCGCCTCGCTAAGCAACTGTTACTACCGGTCGCCATCTGCAACTGGGTCCGCTTTCAGCTCGCCAGTCCTTTGCGCGTGGCTTCCCCGCGCCGGGATTGCAGCTCTGTCCGACCCCAGCTGTCATGCCGCTGGGCGGGTTAAAAAAAAATTTTTTTTTGATTTGTTTTGCTTTGTTGTCTTTATGAGATGGGATTCTACTATGCAGTTCAGGCTGGCCTTGAACTCACTTTGTGGCCCCAGCTGGCCCCGAATTCACAGCGATCCTGCTGCCTCCTGCCTGCTGCCTCCGGAGAGCATGGGGTTACAGGCGTGCACACTGCACCTGGCCAAAATTTTTTTTAAATTGTTGCTGATTGTTAGTACTGAGGGGTGTACCCAGGGCCTTCGCACTGTGCTACATCCTCAGCCCTTCACCCCACCTTTTTTTTTTTTTTTTAAATTTGAGACAGGGTCTTGCCAAGTCACTGAGTTGCCCAGGCTGGACTCAAACTTGTGATCCTCCTGCCTCAGCTTCCCGGTGCTGGGATGATAGGTGTGCACCACTACACAGCTAGGTGGATGCTTACTGGTCATGCAAAACCCAGTGTGAAGCTGGGCCTAGTGGTGCACACCTGACATCCCAGTGCTTGGGTTGAGGCAGGAGGATGGCTGTGAGTACCAGGCCAGACTAAATTACAGAGCGAGACTCTTGTCTCAAAAGACGGAAACAAAAGCAGTTCAAGTACTTTCCTTTTCCAGGAAGCACTGCCTGCCTGCCTTCCCTCCTCCCCAGGGCAGGTCTCAGTAATCCACACATCTCAAGTTCTTCCAGCTCTTCTGCCCTTCTTCTCTATCTGGTGGAAATAAATGGGGATGTGGCTTCCCTGAGAACCTTAGAGTCTTTTCTGAGTCCCTTGCGTGGCCCAGCACAAAGGACTGAACCAGTGTGGGTTTACTGAATGAATAATTGACTGATTCATCACTACTTCTTCTTGGTTACTCCAGGAACACAACCAAAAAGTATAATATAATGGCTTTCAATGCGGCCGATAAAGTGAATTTCGCTACGTGGAATCAGGTAGGTCTCTGGTTTGCGGGTCTGGGAGGGAAGCGGTTGAGAGAACCTGACCCTGGACTTGGTGATTGTAGTAGTTACTCAGCCGTGGTAGTGACTAAGGTGAAGCTTCCTCTGCCGTCCCCAAAGGGACGTAACAGGACAGTGAAGGCCCCCGCCATGCTGCTAGCGGTGGTGTTAGGCCCCAAGGTGGTCTTCTCCTTAAGCGAGAACAGTCAAGTGTGGGGCACAGAGGTGCACACCTGAAATCCCAGCAATCAGGAGGCCGAGGCAGGATGAGCAACTTAGTAAGACCCTGTCCCAAAAATAAAAAAAGGTTTGGGGTGGGGCTGGGGATGTGGCTCAGTGGTAGAGCTCTTGACTTGCATGCAGAAGGCCCTGGGTTAGATCCCTAGCACCACATACATAAAAAAAAAAAAAAAAAGAAAAAACAATAATAATAATAAATAAATAAATTTTTTTTAAAAAAAGGTTTGGGGATGGAGCTCAGTGCAAAGGCCCTGAGTTCACCTCCAAGTTCTACAAAAAAGGGACAGTTTGAAATTATGCCCACTGTGGGGGATGCTGGGCCGAGATTTGCCTGGGCGGGAAAGTGGCCTGAGCCGGGAGCACCACCCTGTGGGGCTCTCAGAGCAGCTACTGGTCCGGCTCTCGAAGGCACTGTAGAGCTGATGAAGGGCTTTCAGCTGGGAGATGGCAGAGTGGCCCGTCCGCCGTGGTGGAGCCTGGGCTGGGGCTGGCTGTGCCGCCGAGGTGCGCGATGACGGGCTGGGAAAGAGGAGGACTGGCACGGGGAGGACAAGGTTAAGGGTGCTGGCCAGCCCCGGGGGCTCTGCCTACAGGGTGTGTGGACAGACTGGACGTAGCGGGCTGAGGGGAAGAGAGGAAGTGCAGACGATGCCATCTGTCGCGCGTCTCCCTTGTCTGCAGTCTGCCTTCCCATGGCTTCAGCCACCTACGGTCAGCTGCACCCCAGAACTATCCCACGCAAAAGTCTGGGTTTAAGCAGCACCTCACTGCTAGAATCCCTGCTCTGCTGAGTGTCCTCCGCACCCTGCCTGGGGCGGGAATGATCCGTCCCTTTGTCCAGCACTCCCGCTCCCTGCCGCAGAAGCCTCTCGGTTCTCAGCTCAGCCGTGCTGGTGTCCCAGTGCTTGTGTCCACGGGACCCACGACTGAGTAATGGCTCCAGAGCTCAGAGCAGTGATGTTGGAAACTCGGATGGGCCACAGAGAAGCTGCCAAGTGCTTTTCTACTTTTTGTGTGTGACAGGGTCTCACTAGATCGTCTAGGCTGGCCTTGAACTCACTATGTAGCCTAGGCTGGCTTCAGACTCATGGCGATCCTCCTGCCTCAGCCTCCTGAGTACTCAGATTATAGAGTTCTGTTTTACTGTTAGTTGTTTTGTCCCAAAGTCACTGTACCTAACCCACCCGTAGCTAGCATCCTGCACCCCTTTGCCTAGCAGGAAGTGGGTTCGAGTGTCTGGGGCGCAGCATAGGGAGGTGAAGAGGCTTCCTAATGAGAGGGTTGCAGCCCAGGGAAAGGTGGGGCCCTGACAGGTTTCTCCTTGTGCTCTCTTAGGCCCGGCTGGAGCGGGATTTGAGCAACAAGAAAATTTACCAGGAGGAGGAGATGCCCGAGTCGGGCGCAGGCAGCGAGTTCAACCGGAAGCTGCGGGAGGAGGCCCGCCGCAAGAAGTACGGCATTGTCCTCAAGGAGTTCCGGCCCGAGGACCAGCCCTGGCTGCTCCGCGTCAACGGAAAGTCGGGCAGGAAGTAAGCGGTGACGGAGAAAGGTGCCGCCCTGAGGACCACAGGGCCCAGCCCACGCCTGCTGTCAGCCACACGCTTGGTGGGGGGTCCTCCCTGAGCCTCGGTTCCCCAGCTGTGCAGCAGGCACGCCAGCACTGCCTCCTCTTATTTATTTGTTGCGGTACGGGGGATTGAACCCAGGGCCTTCGCGCAGAGCCACACCTCCAGCCCTTTCCTTCTGGGACCAGGTCTCACTAAGTTGGTCAGTTATTCAGGCCGTGCCTGATCCTCCTGCCTCAGCTTCCCAGAGGGCTGGTGTGACAGGTGTATACCACAGCCCCTGGCTCCCTCATTTCAGGGTTTTTATTTTTATTTGTTTGTTCATTTGTTGGTGTTTTGAGACAAGAGTCTCACTCAGGTTGGCCTTGAAGTCGCTGTGTAGCGCAGGCTGGCCTGGAACTCTGGGCAGTCCTCCTGTCTGGGGTACTGAGGATTTAAGCCTGGGCCTTCACACTGAGGTACATATGCAGCTCATTTTAAATTTTTGGTTTTTTAATATTATTACTATTATCATCATCATTTTTTTTTTTTTTTTGTACTGGGGGTCGAACTCAGGGCCTCGCCTCGTGCTTGGCAGGCAGACTCCGTGCTGCCGAGCTATACCCTGGCCCTCAGCATCATTTTGAGACAGGGTCTGGCAAAGTCAGTAAGTTGCCCAGGCAGGGCCGGAACTTGCCATCTCCCAGCCGACAGAGTGCAGGCAGCAGCAGTGTGTGACGCCATACCAGGCCGTGGGAGTAGGGGGAGCTCGGTGCCTTCGGAAGAAGTTGGTGTGGGCACTCTTGGGTCACCCCATTGGAGGGGCGGCCTTTGGGCAGAGTGGAAGCACTGAGGTCAGGGCCGTGAGAGCATTCCAGGCAGACTGCGTGACAGTGACAGCTCAGGACAGGAGGTACGAGGAGGCAGCGAGCCCCCTGGGAGCCTTGAAGTTGCTAAGCCAGGCTAGGCACCTGGAGCAAGACTGCAAATGGGCACGGTGTGGTGGTGCACACCTGTAATCGCGGCACAGTGGGAGGCTGAGACAGGAGGATCTCAAGTTTGAGTTCCAGCCAGAGAATTTAGTGAGACCTTGTCTCAAAAAATAAAAATGCCTCTAGACATAGCTCAGTGCGAAGGCCCTGAATTCAATCCCCAGGACTGGGAGAACCAGACAGACAAGACTGCCTGGATTTGGGGCAGCAGCAGGTTGAGGTGCAGACCGCATGGAGCCTGGGCAGCTGTTTGGACTCCAGGAAGCAGCAGCCTGGGTTGAGTCCACGGAGGGTCGGGCCGTCCTGTCCCATCCCCCACCCGCCTGGCCCCAGGCTGGCTCCCAGCAGCAGCCCGTGGCCCGTGGCGTCTGAAGTGGTCTTGGCACACAGCTACTTGCTCAGCTCCGAGGGGCACAGCTGGGCCTGCCCCAGGCCTCCCTGTCACTCGCTGTACCCAGGCGGGCTCTGAGGAGGAGGCAGGTGAGGGGGACAGGCTGGACCAGGCGCTGCTGTGACCTGACCTCGGCTCCCTACAGGTTCAAGGGCATCAAGAAGGGCGGCGTGACAGAGAACACGTCCTACTACATCTTCACCCAGTGCCCTGACGGGGCCTTCGAGGCCTTCCCCGTGCACAACTGGTACAACTTCACGCCGCTGGCCCGGCACCGCACGCTCACCGCCGAGGAGGCCGAGGAGGAGTGGGAGAGGTGAGTCGTGCGGGTGGGCAGGCAGGGCAGGAAGTGGGTGCGGCCGTGGGTGCGGCCCTGCTGCAGGGCAGGCCAGTGCCAGGAGCAGGCGCACACAGTGACCAAGGCTCTCAGGCCAGGGCGGCGGCCGCAGGGTGGCCCAGCTGAGCTCCTGCAGGCGGGAGGCAGCCCTGCAGGATTGCCGCCCTGGCCAGTCCGTGCCACATGGGACAGTGCGGAGCTGTAGGGGAGACGTCTAGAGGCAGCCCCTGGAGGTGGAACTAGGTGGGTACAATTACGAGGCCCAGGGACGCAGGGTGAGGGGCCAGAGAAGAGGGATGTGGCTCGTGCCTTTATGTGCCCGTCTCAGGACGGGGCCTCCGCCATCACCGCACCGCCCTGGGCTCCATCTGTGGTTTGGGAGGGTGCTCTGGCCTCTGGGCAAGCCTGCAGAAGTGTATTTTGTCATGCCAGCTACTCAGGAGGCCGAGGCAGGAAAATCACAAGTTCAGTCCAACCTGGGCAACTTAATCACTTAGATCCTGTCTCAGAATAAAATATAAAAAGGAGCCAGGTGTGGGGGCACAGGCCTATAATTCCAGAACTTGGGAAGCTGAGGCAGGAGGAGCACTGTGAGTTTGAGGCCAGCCTGAGGTACATAGTGAGTTCAAGACCGGCCTCCAAAGAAAGAAAAGGAGCTGCAGCTATAGCTCCGTACAAAGGTTCTGGGTTTAATTCCCAACTCTGCAAAAAAATAAAAACAAATTTCATTCCATTGTACAACACTTATGAGTTTTGTACATGTGAAGTAGATAGGTATAGTCCTAATGTTTCTCATTAAATGTAGCACCAGGTTTGTTGTTTTTTTTTTTTTTTTTTTTTTTTTTTTTTTGAGACAGGGTCTCACTATGCAGTTCAGGCTGGCCTTGAGCTCACTTTGTAGCCCAGGATGGTCTCGAACTCACCACCTATGTAGCCTAGGCTGGCTTCAGACTCATGGCGATCCTCCTGCCTCAGCCTCCCGAGTGCTGGGATTACAGGTGTGGGCCACCAAGCCTGGCTGGAGACAGGGTCTTCCTGCTTAGCCCAGGCTGGCCATGAAACTTGCAGATCTCCTGGCTCATGGCTCAGCCTCCTGCGTGCTGGGATTGCAGGCCTAGGGCACCATGCCTGGCCCATGAGCAGCTTTCTCCCTGTGGTTTTGGGTGTGCTGGGGCCAGGCTGAGTCCCTGAGAAGGTCTCTGTGTGGCTCCCGCTCCCCCTGGGCGGAGGTGCAAGGCTGCCTCCCACCCGACCCTCGCCCCACAGGAGGAACAAGGTCCTGAACCACTTCAGCATCATGCAGCAGCGGCGGCTCAAGGACCAGGGCCAGGACGAGGACGAGGAGGAGAAGGAGAAGCGCAGCCGCGAGAAGCCCAGCGGGCTGCGCATCCACGACCTGGAGGACGACCTGGAGATGTCGTCGGACGACAGCGAGGCCAGCGGCGAGGAAGGTGGGCCGGGTCCCCTGCACAGGGGACTGACGGCTTAATGCCCCCGAGGCAGGCTCCATGCACCCCCTGCCCGGATGTGAGAGGCCCCCAGGGGAAGCGGGCCAAGCTGGAACGCCAGGGCTGGGCCCTCCTCAGGGTCCCCACGGGGAGGGAAACCTCAGGATCGGCCGCCGAGTGCTGGGGGGACCCTGCGCCGTGACGCCTTTCCGAGCCGTCTGGGGCGGCCTGGGCGCTGGGGACAGGTTTCCCGGCGTGCGCAGCACCAGGGCTTGGGGCGCGGGCTGCCCGGGGAGGGGCCGCCACCGAGGCCCCTGGACGTCGGGCCACCCCGGAACCGGGAAGGCAGCGAGAGTCCGCAGCCCCACCTCGCTGTGCTCCCTCCCCTCGCCAGGCAGCAGAGCCCCCAAGACCAAGAAGAAGGCGCCGCTGACCAAGGCGGGCAGGAAGAAGAAGAAGAAGAAGAAGGGCTCGGACGATGAGGCCTTTGAGGACAGCGACGACGGAGACTTCGAGGGCCAGGAGGTCGACTACATGTCCGACGGCTCCAGGTAAGGCCAGCGGGAGGCGGGCGCGAGGCCCCGGCCCAGCCGGCGTCGGACGCCCGTGCCCACCCGCTCCGCCTCTGCC